AGGGTCAGGTTCCATTCATTCATGTCATGCACATTCTGGGCGGGACCGCTCAGGGCAGCCTCCACATCTCAAATTGACGTCTACATTTCCCTCTCTGGGTGTCAACTTCCTTATCTGGGAAAGGGGGTGGCAATAGTGATAACCCTGCCCCTAATCTGGAAAGTGAAACACCAGCAGAGGGGGAGCAATTGGACGGGGGTGGGGGTGGGGGAGGCAGGGCTGGGAGGTGGGAGGCACTGCTTTTGTGGTTACTCTTTTTGAGATGAAGTCTCTGTATCTCAGCTCACTGCAACCTTCACCTCCTGGGTTCAAGTCATTCTCCTGCCTCAGCCTCCAGAGTAGCTGGGATTACAGGCGCGCACCATTGCACCTGTCTAATTTTTTGTATTTTTAGTAGAGACGGGGTTTTGCCATGTTAGCCAGGCTGGTCTTGAACTCCCGACCTCAGGTAATCTGCCTGCCTCAGCCTCTCAAAGTGCTAGGATTACAGGTGTTAGCCATCATGCCCTGCTGTGGTTACTCTTGAAACAGAAACCTCCAGGGGAAGTTAACAGCCTGGGGTGGGGGTGGTCAGAACCCCGAATATTTGGACTAAGAAGCTTTAGGGGCCTCCCAGACACCAGGTGATATCACTACCCTCCCACATTCTACCCAAAATGATACCAGGGCTGAAAGGGGCAATATCACCTGCCCATAGTCACAGAGGGGACCCACCCAGCCTCTGCAGATGGGCTTAGAGGTTAAGACAGCCCAGGAGACCACACCTGTAATCCCGGCACTTTGGGAGGCTGAGGTGGGAGGATCACTTGAGCCCAGGAGGCTGAGGCTGCAGTGAGTTATGACAATGCCACTGCACTCCAGCCTGGGTGACACAGCGAGACCCTGTCACTAACCACACCCCCCAAAAAACTCCAGGAGTTACATGCAAAGGATGCATGTGCTCCTGGTGAGTTAAAGTCTCTAGGCCCGGGCTCCCCTTGGAGCTGCCCATATCCTGAAGTGCACTCGGGCGTGCGGCAGGGCTGGGCGGAAGGGAGGCTCAGGCTGCACACAGGGCTTTTTTTTTTTTTTTTTTTTTGGCGGAGTCTTGCTCTGCCACCCAGGCTGGAGTGCAGTGGCGTGATCTCAGCTCACTGCAACCTCTGCCTCCCAAGTTCAAGCAGTTCTCCTGCCTCAGCCTCCCAAGTAGCTGGGACTACAGGCACGTACCACCACGCCCGGCTAATTTTTTATTTTATTTTATTCTTTTTAAAGATGGGGTTTCACCATGTTGGTCAGGCTGGTCTTGAACTCCCGACCTCAGGTGATCCGCCCACCTTAGCCTCCAAAGTGCTTGGATTATAGGTGTGAGCCACCACACCCGGCCTAATTTTTGTATTTTAGTAGAGATGGGGTTTACGATGTTGGCCAGGACAGTCTCGATATCTTGACCTCGTGATCTGCTCGCCTCGGCCTGCCAAAGTGCTGGGATTACAGGCATGAGCCATCGGGCCTACAAGGCTATTTTCTTGGGGGGATGGGACTTTGCCAAGGCAGTCCTCCTTCTGGGGTCAGGGGTCTCTAAGGCCTGGGGTAGGGTTGAGGAGAAAAGACCCCAAGTCTGCCCAAGGACACACAGGGCAGGTGGCCCCCAGCTCCAGCTGGGGTGTTGGTCAGGGAGGGTTGTGGGCAGCATGAGAAGGGAAGCTGCCAGAAGAGGAACCCACTTTTACTCACTCTGCTGGGGACCGCCCACCTGTGCTTCCCCCGGAGACAGGGGCTGGGCAGCCCAGCCGGGGGTTGAGACCTCCTTCTGTGTGACTCCAGCCTTGGCCCGGCCCAGGCCTCCAGTGTTCCTGGGGCTCACGACACCCACCTGTCCCTGCTTCCTTGTCGTAGCAACTGCTACTCCTTTGCCCACCAATTTTCTTTCTGTTCCCATCTCAGGCTGAGAAGGGAATTGCCACTCCCAGGCAACCCACACCCCATCCTGTGCGCCTCCAACCCTGGTCCCCACACCTTGGCCCTATGAGCTCAGCCCTGTCTGTCTTCACAGCCCACCCTCTCCTGCCTCCCCCTGCCCAGGAAGCTTCAAACCTCACCGCAGCTTCCTGCCTCAGAGGATGTTGGGGCCGGGGTGAGGCCGACAGCAGTGGGTGCCACAGCCCCCGCCCCTTCCCCTCAGCCCTGAAAGCCCCATCACCCCATCTCCCCTCCCTCCGCTGCACTGTCTATAACTACTTCCTCAGAATGGAGACGGAGCCAGACGGGCCTTCCACGAGGGCCCCTGTGGGCAGGGTCTGGACCTTGGGCCAGCGTTTGGTCCAGTGTGGAGAAATTCAGCCTCAAGAGCTGCCCCTGTCGCACAGCTCTGGCGGCCACGAGTTGAGAAGATGCCCCTTCCGCCACTGGGTGTAGCCCACTGGGTTCTAGAACCTTCTACAACTACATTTACTAGACTCATTTCTGGCTTGGCCATTCCCTCACCCTCTTGGCCTTTGCCTCTCTCTACGTGGCCGCCTGGTCATCACTGTGTGCCACGTTCTCCTGAGAGCCAACCATGCAGGCAGAGATGAATCACCTCCGAATTCAGACCTACCACCCATTCATTCCATCATCTTCCAAGCCTTGCTTCATGACAAGCACCGGGACCTGGACCCTCCCTGGCAGTGCTCACTGACCAGGGGATTTCCTCTAATGAGCAGGTCTTCCCCAGTCACGGGGGACACCCTGGAAGGAGCAGCCAGATTTCTTCTTCCTGGATACCCCTCCTTGGTCTGTCAGAGTATGAGGCCAGCTCCTTCCCTGAGCACCACTTCTCTGCTGCTTGGAAGAGTCTTGCCAGGGAAGACAGATGCCCCCACTGCGGCAGAAGCTGAGGCCAGCTTGGACCATGGCAGTGATGGTAGGAGGGTCTTTAAATTTATTTTTATTTTTTGAAACAGGGTCTTGCTCTGTTGCCCAGGCTGGAGTGCAGTGGTGCGATCTCAGCTCACCCCAACCTTCGCCTCCCAGGTTCAAGCGATTCTCCTGCCTCGGCCTCCCGAGTAGCTGGGACTACAGGCACATGCTGCCATACCTGGCTAATTTTCATATTTTTAGTAGAGATGGGGTTTCGTCATGCTGCCCAGGCTGATCTTGAACTCCTGGCCTCAAGCAATCCTCCTACTTCAGCCTCCCAAAGTGCTGGGATTACAGGCGTGAGCCACTGCACCCAGCCTGGTAAGAAGGTCTTAAAAGTCACAAGGACATTTGCTGAGCCCTTCCCCAGATCCAGCCCCTGCGCTGAGTGCTGGACATCATATAGTAATCTGATTTAATCCTTGTGACCCTCTTAGCTCTCATGACAGATGAGGAAACTGAGGCCCAGACATCTCCAGTGATACACAGCCAGTGGAGCCGGTGTCGAAGCCCAGATCTGACAGGATGGGACTGTGGATGGGACCCCCACAGTGCCGGTGGTCGCCTGCCTGTGGTGACTATGGTAGGGGACGCTCTCTGTCCCTCTCATAGCAGCTTTTAGCACAAATTCTTCCTACACCAACTTGCAGCTTTCCAGAATCTCTACACTACAATCTACTCCCACATGTTCTTTGAGCATCTCTCTCTGGGCAAGGCCAGAAAGGCCATCCGTGTTCTCATGATGTGGAGGCTGCCGTGAACCGTAAACCCCGGCCTGATAGGGAAGCCCCAAAGGCAGAGGAGGAGGGGCCGTGGGTTGCTGGGAATGTCTCTGCCCAGCAGCACTTGACCCACAAAGTGGGGTTAATGACCTTGCCCCCTCCTGGGCTCCTGGACAAGAAACGAGAAAGTAAAAGTGTCTGAGACAGACCACACTTTTGCTGGGCTCTCCCAGCTCACCCAGGACTGGAGACAGGTCCCCTTTTGGGGGTGGCCCTACAGGGCCCACATCCTGCAAAGACAGGTTCCTCAAGAGTTTGCTAAGGCAGGACCTGCTGAAGTTGGAATGGAGGGGACTCTGAGCTGGGACAGCCCCTTTTGTGGTCCTCTCCAAGTTCTAGCTGGTGGGGGTGGGGGGTCCTGAGTTTTGGCTCCATCCTAGGTCAATGGGACCCTTCACCTCACCCATAAAGGCTTAGCTGGAAGGGGAGGGCCACCTGATCACATGGTTCCCCACAGGTCACTAAACACTGAGTCACAGAGGTGGGGTGAGGCCCCACCTGGGGATCTCAACCTTTGGTCCCCAATGTTGATGAAGCCCAGATGGGAGCCAGGGTCCTCCCACTGACTGTGTTCCTCCGGTCCCCACCCCTCACAACACCAACTCTCATGCAATTGAACAGAAATCCACAAACCGCCCGTGGCCGGGATGTGACTAGCAGCAGAGCTTGGTGTGGGGCCCCGGTGCCCAGTGCTCTGTTCCTTCCTTAGTTCATTTTCTACACTGTCTGGTTTCCTCCCAGGGAACTAGGAAAGCACAGAAGTAATTGTAGCCACAGAATTCCAGAACCACCAACTGCAAGCAGTGGAATCCCCGGAGCTGCAGATGCAGAACTCATGCCCACAGGACCCCAGAGCCTCAGGCTGCAGAGAGCACCCACAGAGCCTTAGGGTCACAGGCTGATCTGTGGCCGGCAGCATCCCAGAACCACAGGACCCAGAAACACAGCCCAGGCAATCCGAGCACCCGGAGACTCAAATCTGCGGCCCTCAGAGTCTGCAGAGACCACAGCAGGCAGCGCAGCAATCCTGGAATCATGGGAGGCCCAAGAGAAGTACGCTGCTTTCTAGAACCACAGGAGAGGAACGAGCTGTGGGCTCTCCGCACAGAGCTGGGAGGGTGGCCCCGGAGTTTGCCTCCTCCTCCAAACACCCTCCACTCAGAGACAGGGCTTGGCCTCTAGGGCCGCGCTGCCAGCGCTCTGAGTGGCCTCCAGGAATGAAGAGCCGCCAGGGCCCCGCCAGGGTGCAGGGTGGGGACGCCCGGTGGGGAATGCCCCGGCGGGGAAACCCTTCGGGCGGGTGGACCCCCGGGACCCCTGGCGCGCAGGCGCACTCACCGGCCGTGTCGTAGAGGTTCAGGGTCACCTCCTTGCTGCCAACCGTCACGCTGGCCGTGTACTTATCGAACACCGACGGGGCGTAGTGCTGCGGGAGACGTAGTGGGGTTGGTCCCTAGTGGGCCCAGGTTCCAGCTGACCCCACTGTCCGCCCCCTTCACTTGTCCGGGATCAGCCCCCTTCACCTCGCTGGGCTCTGGAATTCCCGAGGGGGCGCCCCGGGTGGCGGCCACCTCTCCGGAATCGGAACGCCGGGGGGCCGAGGGTCGGGGCTCCGGGCTCAGCCTGAGAGGGGTCCCTCGCCCCCACCCCAGCCCCGCTTCGGGCCTCACCTCGGGGAAGGAGCCCTGGCTGTACACCATGAGCAGCGAGGTCTTGCCGCAGCCGCCGTCGCCCACGATCACGATCTTCAGCTCCTTCCTGCCCGGGCCGGGGGCGGCGGTCGGGGCCGGAGCCCCCGGGGCATCCATAGCCCGGAGCCGGCAGTACTGGCGGCGGCGTGCCGGGCACTAGCGGAGCGGTCGGGGGCGGGGCGGAGCCTGGACTAGCCCCGCCCACTCGGAGGGGCACTGCCTCCGCCAGGCAGCCTCCCGGCCTTCCTTTCTGCTACGGCCCCAGCCCTGGGTGTGGGTATTCAGCTCTCAGTACCAGGGATACTGCGGCACCAGAGAAACGGGGCTCAGCTGCGAGCGCAGCTCCCACCGCCACCCCGGCGCGTCACGGCGCGCCCCCAGCCGGCGAGACCCGACCGTGGCTGCCCAGCGACTCAGGGCGCCCCGGATTGGCAGGCACCTCCTTCGGCAGGGACGCTCCGATTGGCCGGCGCGGACAGGGCCTCCCGGATTGGCGGGCTGTGCCTCCGCACCGGGTTCGAGGAGCCCCCGGCCTCGAGCTCCGGAAAAAGCCCTTCAGCTTTGCACTGCCCCAGCGGCGTGGCTTCGCACCTAGCTGCCTCTGGCCTCAGTTTCCCCACAGGACGTAGCGGCGGTGGCACCGGGGAAGATGCTGATGTGAGGGTCGTGTCTGCCCACCTCACTTCGCCCCGGGGCGCCTGCGTGCGCGCGGGCTCGGGGTGAGAGACTAGGCTCCCCTTAACCGCACCCGGCCCCGGGCTGTAGAGTGGATGCCCAGCGCCCTCTGCCGGGCAATCGCCTCAACGCCGGCCGCAGGTTGGCCCCAAACCACGTGGGCGGGCGCCTCCTTTCAGCAGGAGCCAGAAGCGTGAACCACGCCAAGACGCCGTCAGGGAGGGGCAGGTTGGAGTAGCTCTAGTTGAAGTCAGCTGGGTCCCTCTCCTTGCGTTTTGGAGACTGATAACCCCACATCAACCAAGAAATGTAAGAAAATGCGTTTCTCTGCCAGCAGCCACGTGTCCTTCACTCCAAGAATCCCCCGAACCCCGGCATCTCCTGATGGAAACAGCTTGTTGGGCACTAACTGTAGGCAACGCTATCAGGTCTGATGACTGAGGTCACCGTAACCCCCACCCCGGGCGGGCTGACTGCCTTCGGCACCAGCCAAGTGAGCGGTCAGGGTGGCAGAGGGACCCGGGGAGCCAGTCCACGGCAGGTAGGCACGGGAGCGTGGCCGAGAGAGTGGGGTTCTACCAACTCGGGTAGGAAGAGCCCATTTCTAACAAAACACCAACAGCAGCATGGCTGGGGGCAAGTGACCTTCGGTAGTTTCTTCAGATAGGGGCTGGCAGGACTCAGGATCTTTTTAACGGCAACCCCACCCCAAAGACTCCGTTTTCAAGATCTCGGCAAAGGTCAGGTAAATCTCACTTCGTGGAGGAAAGCCGCCAGCCTGGCAGTTTCATGGTCAAGGTTCTCAGCCGGTACAAGCAAGGCACGGTCTGACCGCCAGAGGGCACCAGCGACCGCCCATAGAATCCCAAGACCACGGCGGAGCTGGGAAGGGGAGGCCAGGACCCACCTCAGGTTCTGGGTGGACGCCCTCTCCTGTCACTGGAAAAAGGGGCATCTCCTAGGTCAAGCACCCACTAGACAAATGCACAGCAACTCATTTGTTCCTTTTTTGCAACACGTTTATTCAGAGGCAGTTGTGCCCCAGCCTTCCAGGAGGTCAGTCTTGGGGGAAGCAATGGAGGTTGGAAGAGGGGAACCGTTTAGGGAAGGCTGAGTGCTGGCTGGCACACGGCTTGGCAGCACTGAAGGGCAGGCAGGGGAAACAGGGTGGGGACCCGGCCTGACAAATGCATGACAGCTAGAAAACCTCTTCAGCTTCTTCCGTGGCTGGGCCATGAGAGGGGAGGCCAGGCAGGGTTGTCAAGGTAACCGGGTCAGATCATGGAGGACTTGCCTGCCAGGCTCCACGGGAGTGGGGGACAGGAGAGGAGCCCAACCACCAGCTGGACCCTGAGCTCCTGTGGGGTAACCAGAGGAGCTGTGATTGGCTGGGGAGGCAGGGCTGGGGCCAAGGTTCCCCCGGGACCACAGGAGGTGAATAAGGCACTCCTGGAGGTGGAGGAAGAGGACCCAGAAGCTATTGAGTGTGTCACCCGAGCCCACAGGAGGCGTCCTGACTGTCCTCAAAAGCCTCAGACCTCAACATCCACTTTCTCCATCCAGGAAATGGGCTGTGATCTCTGCTTATGAGAGCACAAGCCTGCAGAGGAGTGGAGGCAGGAAGTGAGCACAAGTGCCCTTTCCAGCCTGGCCTGGCCCAGGCAGAACAGCTGACATTGGCCCCAGCCTGCTCACCCACCCCTGCCGGCCAGGAGGCTGGCAGAACCCCAGCCCCACCTGCCTGGAGTGTGTTTGATTTGGACCCACCTGTCGTGGTGATAGAGCAGGGCTGATCTGTAGCTAAAAATACCTCGGAGCCAAGCCAGCTGCTCGCAGCTTCCTTGGAGGCTGGGCTGAGCTGGGCCAGCTGAAGAGCTGCGTGCGCCCACCAGAGAGGCAGCTAGCTCCCCTACCTCCAAGAGGTTGAGGACCCGAGTCACTCCCCTTCCAGTCACCAGGAATTCCTGGAGAGTTTGAGAAGGCAAAAAAAGACTCTTTAAGCTGGTACTTGACACAAGAGTTGTTGGGCCACTGAAGGCTGGGGGAGTGGCCAGGTGGCATCTGTGGGGTCAACTCATCGGTGTCTGCACAGAGGCCGACGCCATAGTGAGGCCAACAGGGAAACTGAGCCCCAGGGAATAGCAGGGGCCCAGCCACTGCTGAGTTGTCAGAGCAAAGCCTGGCCAGCCCCAGTGAGGCAATGCTGTGGCACCCACTTCCCTGGGTGCCTGAGAACGCTGTAGAGGTAACACTCACATGAGGCAGAAGACAGAGCCTTCAGGGATGAAGCTACTCCCTGAGGTCGCAGGGATGGGAGGTGGGCTGGCAAGTACATCTACCATCCCTGAGCAGCCTCCAGGCCTCAGCTGCCCACGAGCACTCAGGGACCAGCCCGGGACAGGACCACTCCTGGAGTGCCAAAAGCTCCCCTCACAAAAGCCAGATTCAGCAACAGCTCAAAACATTGCCCGACCTGCTCCTCCCAGCGCTGGGGGGTGGCGGGTGAGGCAGGAGCTTGCTGGAGGTTACAGGCCAGCCAGAGACGCACTGGGCCAGGCAACCTGAGATGGCTGAGCCGACTCACGGTAGAGCCCGGGCAGAGGCTTCGGCGTCTCTCCACCCCGAGGGTCCGAAAGGTCATATTCCACGCTAGGGCTCTGGGTGGAGGGGCCGGAAGAGGCGGGGACGCCGGCGTCTCAGTAGTAAGGCAAGCCCTGCCACCTCCCCGCCGGCCCTTCCGCTGGCGTGGCCCTCTCTCAGCAGGCCCCAGGACCCGGCGCCAGCAGCGGCCCCGCCCCAAGCTCGCTGGGTGACCGGTGGACGGGGCGCCCTCGAGGGACCAGCAGGGATAGCAGCAGGACAAACTGCCCCGCCCTCCAGGCCCCAGGTGGCGACCGTGGCGGGACTAAGAGGGACCGAAGCAGAGGGAGGAGGGTACAGTCCAGCCAGGTGGGTCCCGACACCGCGCCGAGAACCACACTCAGACCACAGCTGAGCACCCACCGGCTCCCTGATTGGATCGAGGGCCGGAGGGGAGGAACTGGCTGGAGCCCTCCCAGGTGCAGCTGGAAGGGAGCCATACATCAATTATCCAACGCAGGCGGGGAGTAAAGACCCCACCCGGAGAGCACCTATGCAAAGGGGGAGCCACACCCTCGGCGGTAGAGGGTCATGTGAAATCAAGGGGGATTAATGATAGAATCAAATTTAAAACTTAGATTTCAGGGAGTATGGAAAGGGAGAAGGAGAGAAAAGGCTTCTGGGATCTTAACAATGTGAACCTCAATTTTTACCAGGTGCTTTCACCCTCTTGCTGTACTAGGGCAGCTAGGAGTCTGGGCAGGAATACCCTTCCCTCCCGGCAAAGGAGACGGACCCAGGACAGTTCATCCAGGATTGAAAACCCAGCCCTGGCCCTCACAAGAGGAGCCAACAGCACCACGCCGGTTACTTAAAACCAGACAGTCCCGGGCAGGGATGCCAGCAGACAGCTGGCACGGGACGAAGCCCAAAATAACCCAGACAGCTGGGGTGAGGGGGTGCCATGGGCACAGGCGCTGGCTGCAAGTCAAGCCACCTGGAACCCCATCCTGGGTCTACTGGTGGTGGCCTTGTGACCTTGGGCAAGACACTTCTCCCCAGACCTCGGGTGGGTGACCCAAATCCTGACCCCATCATGGAACAACTCGAGCAGCCGGGGACAGGCCTCTACCTCCGGCTGGACTCAACCACTCCAGAGAGCCGCGCTGGCCGCCTTCCCAAGGAGCACCAGATTCCCCTTTGCCCTGAGGCTGGGCCACGTGCTTCGGCAGGTGGGCTGGTAGGGGAGGAGCTCTGAGGCAGCCCAGCCCCCACACCCTGCAGCCACTCCTAGCAATAACCACGGATCACAATGGAGGAGGCCAACTCCAGCGAAGCCTGCAGGGGAGGACGGCCGTCTTAACGCACTTAATCCTCTCACCACCCTTTCCAGCAGGCATCCTGATCATTTTACAGGGAGACACTCGCCCAAGGTCACCAGCACTGTGGAGATCCTAGCTCACGTCAAACTGACTGACAATCTCCCGTAACTTAGCACCAGATACTTGTAGCAAGATCTCCCTGTTAAGCCCCACAGGCTCCCAAAGCTCAGTGGAGCCCTTACAGTGGGGGTGGGGCACAACTCCCAGATAGGGAAGATGGTGTGAACAGGAGCACCTGGACCCAAATGGTTCATCAAAGCAATCACAAACCAGATATCACATGGGGGTCCGAGACCAAGAGCCGCCACCTCCAGCTGTGGAGCTTCTCAGACACTAAGATGGGAAACTATTCAATACAGGAGATCGGCTAGCGCGAACAAAACCAGTTACTATGTGCCAAGTTCCTGCTTCTGCCTCAAAACCCCAGGTGTTACCAAGCCCGGAGCTGGGTGTGGGGTCTCAAAACGTGTTCCCAGTCCACAGCGGCAGCACCACCCAGGAACATGTTAGAAATAAGTCCTCAGGCTCCACCCACTGAATCAGACACTCGGGGACCAGGCTCCAGTCCGTTTTAAAGAGCCCCCTTCGGGCGTGATTCCGATGCCAGCTCCAGACTAAGGATCACTGATCTAGCCCCGTTTTCCTAGATGGAGACACTGGGGCTCGGAGGCTATGCCGCTTCTGCAAGGTCATAGCTGCTCAATGGCTCGCCCGGTTTCAAATCCAGCTTTGTCTGGTTCTGGAAACAAGGCTTACATATAGGCCTGCCCATCTGGGGACTGGAGAAGGGATCATAAGAATTCCAGGAAGGTGGAGAAGCGTCAAGGCCCTTTCACAGAGAAAGTTGGCCAGGACCTCGGATGGCTGTTCTTTGCCTCCCTGGCAGCCAGACATCAGAGAGCGACTCACACTGTCACCCCACATCCCCCAAGGGGAGCTGGAGGGGAGGCCACAGCACTGTTGGGCCATCTGGCAGCAACCTGTGTCTTTCAGAAGTAGGAGGCGCCCAGGGCCCTACCCCGCCGAAAAACACACAACTGGGAAATACTTGCAAGTGGAGCCTCTTGTATGCTGCTAAATTCGGCAGAGAATTGCACGCCCCAAATGCCTGACAACAGAGGCTGACAGGCGGGGATGGATGGCCCGGGCGGCCCAGCAGGCGGCCCTACGCGCTCGCAGCTGGGGGCGGGGCGGGGCCGCAGAACCAGCCCGGCGGGTTTGGGGTTCCGCCCTCCCTGGGCTGCAGGCCAGAGCCCCCCAAGTCTCCCTCATGGTCTGGGCAAGGACTCACACCTACCTTAGTGGGAGGATTGTCAGAGTCAAACTAGGCCTGCCCCTGCCGTCGACAGAAGGAAAGATTGTCCACGCGGGGAGTGCCCGGCCGTCTCCCCTTCTCCAGCCCAGAACCTGGAGGGGAGGAAGGCGGATCAGGGCGGCCCCCGGCTGGCAGAGCGCGTGGGGCGGAGATGTGACCGGCAAAAGGCACAGCGGACAGGGGCTCCGGGGCTGAAGGGGAGCCCCCAAACGCCGCCCCTCCCCCAGCGGCCCCCACAGGAGCCGCGGGAGGGGGCGGCTGAGTCAGAAGGTTGAGCCCGGGCCGGGCGGCGGCTCATCTGCATTTCCAAAGGCCCGCCCCGCCCGCACCCTCCCGGGAAGGGCCGGAGATCTGAGGCTTCGCCCGGAGCCCCGCGCCTCGGGGGATCCTGGGGGCCCCTCCGCTTTCCCAGGCTTCCCCCACATCCGGGCTGGAGGGCTGCGCTCTGGGCGGCCCAACGGGGCCCTGTCTGCGGCCACCCCGAGGGCCTCACGCCCTTAGTGGGGACAAAGGGGGCGACCCCCGCCCCCGCCGGCTCGGCTCTCAAAGGGCGACTGGGAGGCCGGGCCCAGGCGGCCAGAGCAGGGTGTGCAGCGGGGAGCGGCTCGGGGTCAGAGCCAGGCCGTGCTGCGGGGAGCCGGTGGGACTCGGGGCGACCTTGAAGCCCCGCCAACCCCGCGGCCCTGGGGTGCGGCTGCCCGCGCGGGACAAAGGAAGGGGGAAGCGTTAGGGCGAGGCCTCCTGGTGCCCCCGTGGGCCTCGGGTCTGGTCGGCCTGGAACTCGGGCGACGGCGGCTCGCCCAGCCCCCTCCCCGGCCGCTCCTCCTGCTTGGCGCGGGGCGGCCGCCACCGCCCCAGCCACGGGCAGCGCGCGAAATGGCGCCCGTCAGGCCGCCGCACCTGGCTGAGGCGAACGCGGGAGGCGCCGCGCGCGACGCCCCGGAGGCCCGCGGTCCCCATAACGGCCCCCGAGACCCGATCCCCGGCGCTGCCCCCGCGGGCTCTCGGGGCCCGACCCGGCCGCGGGCCCGCCTCCTGCTCCCGGCTCCCCACGACCGGGGGAAGGGAGGAAGGAAGGAGAGCCGCCGCCATTAGCACAGCAGCCCTGCCCGGCCGGGCCCGCCCGCTCGACCAGCCCAGCCCGGCCCGCCCGGCCCAGCCCAGGCGCGAAGGGCTCGAAGCCTGGAAATAGAAGTGGTGTTTGGGAGGAGGAGCGAGCGCGGCCGGGAGGACTGGAGCGCCGGGCTGCCGGCGGAGATGCTGCGTCATGGTGCCAACATGGATGCCGGCCTTTTGTCCTTCGCGTTGCCAGCGCAGGCGCGCCCCGGAGCCCCAAGAAGCCGGCTTCGGGGTGGGGAACGCTCACGATCGAAAGGGAAAGAGAGTCCAAGGCTGGGCAAGGAGGCCCCCTCGTCTTTTGAGCCCTGTCTCCAAAGCACTTCAGTTTCTTCTCATCCAGGCTCAGACCTGGGACGAGCGAGGGGGGCGAAGGCAGGCGGCTGGCTCCATGGACCCCCGAGGGTCGCCGCGGAGCCCCTCTTCTCGCCCTTGGGGCAGAAGAGGCACAGGGGTCCGAGGAGCCCTCCTCGTCCCATCCCCCGCACCCGCCCCCCCCACTGCCCGCTCCGGCTGCCAAACACAAAGCTCCAGAATCCTCCTTCTCCCCTCAGCTCCCAAATACAGCCCTTGCTTGGCCTGCAAAAGGGTTTCCTCGAAGGGGCAAAAGGCACTTTTTTTTTTTTTTTTCTTACTTACCCGCTCAACCCGGTGCCATGGAGTCTAGAAGATCAAGCTGGGCGGTGGTTTTGGAGACGTTATTGTAAAAACATATATATTTTTTGATTTAGTTGGGGAAAATTGGGGGGTTATGGTGGTGCCTTTGTTCTCGTTACCTTTTTGTAAGTTACACTCATGGCAAGTTCTGCTCCTTCCACTTCTGCAAACTTTCCAGGGTTGGGTAGGCAAAAAGGCGGCTTCGCAGAGGACTGTTTACTGCTCTGGATATAGCAATGGTGTGATCGTCATTAAGAGACAAAAGGCGAAAATACACAGTCAAACAAAAGGCAAAAGACGCACCAGCCGCCCAACCACCATAGAAAAATACCCCCCACTTAACGTTGGTGTTTGCTGGAACCAGCTAGGACTTGTTTTCCAGTTTTAATCTAGTTTCCTGTGACGGTTTTAGTCTCAACACAAAGAGAAGGTCTTCCTTTCCCTCACCCACCAGCTCCCCCCACCCCAACACCAAAGACGAGAAAAACAGGGCTGTTTTTCTTCAAATAGATCGATTTTCAAAGAAAGTGTACAAGCTACGGGGAAGAAAGGTGACTACCATTTAGTGCTGTAAACATTTTCAAAAGCATAAAGCTAGATCCTTAGCTTTATAAAAGCAAAATCGTCTCAAAGCATCTTAACTGGCTTATATTAAACAAGAGAGACAAAGACAATACATGCAGATGAAGGTTCGGAAAATTAAGGACATCTCAGCAACATTAACATAAAAACTGCACTGCGTCAGGACAGAATGGATTGGGTACTTACAACGTAAAAGGTTTTTAAAAAACTTAAAAAGAGTAACAACTGCTCACAATTTTTTGTTGCTGCCATTTCGCTAGTCCTAAAGCTATATACATTTAAAACATTACCTTGTTAAAAAGAGAGAAGGAGTTAATAAGATGGCCAGGTTTAAGTGTTTAATAGAGGAAACGATATATTTAAAAATTTATTGTTCAGTCAAGAGAATACAGATTAAGACAGCTCCAAGCTCCCCCCACCCACCCAAAGAACAAAAAGAGGAAAAAAAAAAAAACAAATATGTCATTTACTTAGGTTTTTTTGGAATTCAAAACTGTTAACTGCTGACATGAATGGTGTGCTATGACCTAGTTATACAAGACAAAGATGGATTCCAAGTCATAAGGAAAAATCCAGATCTTTTTAAAAAGTCTTCTCCAGTCTTCCAACTGTGAGTCCTTGGGCCTGTTGACAAATGTTAAACACACTGAGACGTCCTGAACTGGATGGTGGAGTCAAAGGAAAAACATTCCCCATTTGCAACAAAGGAAAAACCCACTTGGCCATTTAATTCCATTGCAGAAAAATGGCTTCCCTCATCTGTTGGCCTCTCCTTCGTGTCTGATGAAGGATGTTTTGAGATCAGCGTCTAATAACTCAAGCTCTATAGAAGCCGCACGCTGATTGGCTGCCGCGCCCTGCCGCCCTGCTCCAGCCAATTACCTACCCACGGCCAAATTACAAACCCCGAAAAGAGCCCCAATATGAGCTACACCAGCTCCGAGCCCCGGCGAGGCGGCTCCTGCGCCTCGGCTGCCCGAGAGAAAAGGCAGAGGGGGCTGCAAACGCGTCCTCGCGAAGCCCGGGAGCCTCGGAGTTGAACTCACAAAATGGAAGCTGCGCGCTGATTGGCCGCCGCCACTCCCGGACCTTTAATAAAGAAAGGGGAAGGAAAAGATAAATGCAAAAAAGGGGGACTCTCTCCTCCGCGGGTGGCTGGAGGTGGGGGGGGAAGCATGTGTTCAGGACAATTACAGGGCGCTCCCCTCCAAAAATAAAAACAGAAGAAAGCTTCTATCGCCCAGGTCCAGGCGAGGGCTGCATCCTCCCAGGAATGCGAATGCTAACGTGGTGAACCCTGTTCTCCCCTCCCCAGCTTAGCTCCGGGGAGGGGGTCGCGGCCGGAGGAGGAAGCCGAAGCGCAGATACCTCGATTGCAACTCCTCCGAGTCGACGCCGGCCTCCCCGCGCGGCTCCCCGCGTCCACACACACCCTCGGCCCCCCAGACCCCTGCCCTCTCCCCGGGTCCCCGCGCGCCTTCCTCCGGCCCGGGCAGTTTGGAAACAGTTTTGCAGGCTTGGGACGCACGCCGCGGCGGCCGCGGCTCGGAGGGTAGCCCCGGCCGCGGGAGGTAGAGCCCGGGGAGACCCCCTCCCCCGCCAGCCAAGACCCCCACCCCAGTCCCAGAAGAATAAATAAATTAAAAGGCCTTCCCCCGGGGAGGGGGAGGCAGTGTGGGAGCGCGCGAGTGAGGGGTGGGGGGCCGCTGGGGCCTGGGGCTTTGGCGGCGCAGCTGCCGCCGCCGGGAGAGTGCCTGGGGAAGCGGCGAGGAAGGAGAGGGGAGGAGGAAGAGGAGGAGGAGGAGGAAGAGGAGGAGGGTGAGCGCTCGGGTCGGGCTCCTTAGCGGTGTATTGTGGGATGTGCGGCTACTGGGAGCCGAGCCTCCGCCGCCAGCCGCCTCCCGGGCAGCAGCAGCAGCAGCAGCGGCGGCGGCAGCGGCAGCAGCTCCGGGCCCGGCAGCCGCGGCGGCGGCGGCGCCCCCCCCTCCTGGCCCCCGGTCCGGCCGCCCCGGCCTCGGCTCCCGCGGGGGACACCATGTACTGGCTGGCGGCGCAGGGAGGCCGGCGCCCGGCGGGGATGTAAGCGCGGCTCGGGGAGGGAGAGGCCGCAGCCGGCAGCCGGGCGGCCCGAGCCCCCGGCCCCGGCTCTGGCCCGGGCGGGCGGGCGGGCGGCGGCGGCGGCGCCAGGCCCTGCCGCCAGCCCCGCGCCCGAGCCAGGCCGAGCGAACGGGCGAGTGCCACGCCGGGTGGCCGGGCGGGCACCATGGGCCGGAGCCCGCGTCCTCCGGGCGCCCGGGGCCCCGCCAGCCCGCCCCGGGGACCCCCGGGAGCCCCTCGCTGCCGCCCCGAGACGGTGGCCGAGCGGGCGGGCGCGTAATTCTCCCGGAAGGGTTATTCTCTCGCTCCATTCTTGTTTTGGGGGGAGCCAGCGAGACAGCTCCTTTCGGGGCGCGCTGGTAAGGTGGGAGGGGGTGGGGGCCGGCCGATTGGATTGTTTCGCGTGTGTGTAGAAGCAGCCGCCGCTGCCGCGGCGGAGACGACAACAACTTGCTGGTTTTCAGGTTGGGTTAACGGCATGGAGAACAGTCACCCCCCCCACCACCACCACCAGCAGCCCCCGC